GGGCGCGGCCGTCGAGCTCGTCTTCGCACCCGACGTCCTTTGCCTCCAGCAACGACGACGCCATGTGCTTTCGCATGCAGGCCAATACGCCGACGAGCAGCTGCGAGATGGAGCTGCATAAGGACTCGACGGCCATCGTGCAGGTGCAGGTCGAAGCCACGATCGCCGCGAGCTTCCAATGGACGCTGCTGCAAGCCGGTCTCCAAGTCCTCCCCGTCGCGTCCGAGTCGTTCTTGCGCGTGAACGCCCAAGGCTTTTGCTCGATCCAGCACATGCTCTTGCTCGGAAGCCACCGCGCGTTCGTCGACGTCCTCCTCTGCCCCGATGCAGCGTGAGATACAGTATCTTGGGGACTATTTAACGTGCAGTCTATCTTTTGTCCACGAGTTTCGATAGGGTCTCGGTGATCGAGCTACTATCTTTGCTTGCGGACTGCAACGTACAAGAAACTCATATTTACATTGCTGAGTTTATTACGGCAGCGTGGACAGTCAAAAGGCAGCTATAGGCCAGACGTATGTCCTTTTGGCCGCGGCTATCGTCACGACGTCGACCGCCGTCGCGCCCGCCGCAAAGCGCGTTCGACTGCACGTATGATTTCATCCGTTGCAGTCGCTTCGCTCATCGCTACGAGCGCTGGGTGTTCCAACACTGGACGGGTTCGTCCAGAACCACCTGTGGAGTGGCCTGTGCGGCCGTCGAGGCGTCGAGCTACCTACTGTTGTTTCTTGGTATACTATTGGACGGTGGCGTCGTTGTCGTTGTCGTTGGCGGTGCGTGGGCGTGGACGCGGGCAGGGCGGTCGTCGGAGCGCGGCTGAAGGGAGCGGTGTTGGTTGTGGTCGATCGGCTGCAAAATGGAAAATGAAGACTTTGCGACTGCGCGTTGCGGCACGTAAAAGCGATTATCGAGTGTAGAATCGATTGAGAACCTTTGTACGTGTACTTGTTTCTTGTATACCGAGTGTAAAAGTTGGGAGCTGAACCAGCTACCAGTCGGGAGAAGCGTGGACCCTGTCGCGCAGGAAACTGGCCACCACTCGCACGAATCAAGGTGCATCTCCATACGCCAGTTCGAGCCACAACAGACTGCAGACGCAACCAGCGTCCAGAGCCCTACCCCTTCTCCCCACGACGTAGCAAAACCACGCGAAACCCTCGTAAATAAACAGTCCGCGTTGGATTTAGTTGCACAATAATTACACTCAACGAACACAGCACGTGCACCAACTAGGCGCCGAGCCAATGGCGCTGGCCAATCTCAAGGCCGATGCTCGCACCGGACGAGATCCCGAGAAGGAGGCCGAGACACATGACGGCGCCGGCCGACTCGCGGTCTTCCTGCGGCAGCAAGCGCGGGCCGAGACCGATCGTGATCGTGCTGAGCACGCCAGTCGAGAGGCCGAGGAGCAGATTCACCAGTAGCTGCCACACCACGTTCAAGGCGCGCGCCTCCTCGAGCAAGAACAGCGGGTTGCGGCCGCTGCCTGGCAGCCCCGCGAGGAGCGCGAGAAACAACAAGCTGCGCGCGATCGTCCAGTAAAAGCACGAGTGCAGCGTAAAGAACGGGTAGAGCTTGGGCGCGACCATGCGGCCGGCAAAGTCGCCGTAGTTGTAGCTCAGCAAGACGCCATTGACGTACCAGTTGGCCCAGCTCGCGCCGTTCGCGAGCTGGTACCCGGACGAGATGCCAATGCCGGGGAAGCTCACGAGCGAGACGACGAAGATGAGGCACTGGCTCACGAGCGGCAGCCAGAGCACGTGCGTAATGCGCCAGAGACGAGCCCACGTCGCCGGCAGCGCTTCGCGCCGGACCGCCGTCGTCGCGTGCGTCCGCGCGACCAAGTAGATGAGCGACGGGATGCGCAGCAGCTCGTGGTAGACGACAAGCGCGAGTACGCAGACGAGCATGAAGATGCTAAAGAAGATGTAGAACGACACTTGCTGGATCTCGTGGAGCGCCGTCGGCGGCGGGTCGAGGCCGCCGACGCACAGCTGGATGAGCGTGTTGAGCGAAATGTTGAGGATACCCGAGGTGCCATTGCCGAGCTGCATCGCGTTCGTGAAGATGGCTTCCGGGAAGAGCGCCGAGAGCGCATAGAACGTCGCTTCCGTGAGCGAGTTGGCGAAGCCGACCGTGCCGAACGCAACCAAGACGATGCGGCCGCCGACCTCGGGCGATACGTTGCAGACGTCCTGGAGGACGATCGCGACCGCCGAGAGAAGGTAGAGCGTGTACCCGACGCGGACGCGCCAGAGCACTCCGAGCTTCGAGTCGAGCCCGAGCAGCACTTGCACCAAGTGCCCGAGAAACATGGGCCACGTCGAGATCGGTGTCGTGAGGTACTCGAAGCGCAACGTCGTGTTGACAAAGCGCGCGGCGTAGTACGTCTGCGCCGACAAGCACGAGTAGTACGCCCAGAGGCAGCTGCCGTTGAGGAAGAGCAGCGACCACCAGATGAAGCGCGTGTGGCAGCGGATGTCATCGAGGACCGAGGCCGGCATCGCATCCGTATCGTCCAAAATATCCTCAGCGCGCACGTACAGCACCGTGTTATGAGCCTTCGGATCCATCGGCGAGGGCGTCAAAAGCCGTGTGAGCCTCGACGTTCGCTGTAAAAGCATCGGACGCAGCTACTTGTTGAGGTCGTAGCTGTCGCTGTCGCGTCGCCACAAGTCCCAGCGCACCGACCACTGACGCGTGAGTAACGAGCGAGGTCTGCGAGGACGTAAAGACCACGGCCGCTCGCCTGCCTCGCAGCGCTGCAGCGAGATCCAAGAGGTGTGGAGTCGCTGCCAGGTGTAGCAAGAGAGGAGATGGAACTTGCACAAAGACCGAGATGGATGGTCTCTGAAGATGGACTAATACAGTACGCCGCATGACGCGTGCGACAGAGCGTTGCTTGGCGATGGAGAGAGATCTCGATGGAGAAGAGACCTCGTGACGCAGCACGGGCGACGGCTACTTGGCACTTATTCGAGGCGAGAAAGCGCCGATTAGAGTTCTCGCCAACGCTCCATGAGGCAGCGACGCACCTGCGTCGATGGCGCTGTCGCCGAAACCTCCCATGCCGCAGCTGACAGGACGTGGCCACTGTCGGAGGAGGAAAGGCTGTCGGGGTCTGGTCGAATATATGCTTGTCAAGAAGAACGAGTGCTAGCCCTTGCAAGTAAGTCGATCAACCATCGCTTCCAGCGCGGTCACCCTTGTGATGAGAAACCGAGATCGGCGATCGAAGCGCGTTGCATCAGCCCAGCGCTGCTTCGAGCATGCCACGTTTCCTGCTTCTGAAGCAAACGTCGGCTTTTGATTCGTGGATACTCAGCCGATATGTCTGAAATTGACCAATGAGATGGTGCATTCGGCCAAGTGCACAACATCGCCAACCGATCAACCGACTCTACCAGGCCCGGCCACGACGCTCCATGATAGCCTGATAGCGACCATATGTTGCACAGTTTACCAATTAAACTATACTACTTTAAAGTGAAGTCTACGGTGGAGTCTCTCTTCCTTCCGACGCGTACCTTTGTCAGTGTCGCTGCTGCCACGTCATCGATCGTCGGTCGGTCCATTGCGTTGCGCTGGAGACCCACAACGCCAGCCATACATATCCTTTGAGATCTAGGGCAACAGAAGCACTCAATTTTCTCATCTTCCTTCAGTCTGCATGCATACTAACCGCTGAAAACAAAAACTCTGTGTGATCGTTGCTCTCGATGAGTTCGTTCAGTCACGTGGGAGGCAGTGCGAGCGCAAGTCGCCATCGTCGGCGCCTCTTTGCGATACGCCACCTCCACGTATCTCTCTTTTCGTGATTCTCGTCAACCAACGGATCGAGTTGCGTTCAAAAAGTGTCTAATAAAAGAGGCATAACGACGATGCAAGGAGGCTTAGGGTTGCAAGGACAAGCGTTTTTGCTGCAACCCACCGGTGGCTAAAAAACGGATCTCGTTGGTTCGTCGTCACTTGCAAATCTCTTGGCCAAGCAGCACCCAACAAGTCGATTGTATAATCGCCAGCGCTGCTTCAAGAGCGAACGACTACCTTTAACGCACCCCAAGATCCCTCCCTGACACCGTGAGACAGCATGGGCGACAGTAATGTACTTCTCACCGACGAGCTCGAGCTCGAAGCGCCGCCGCTGACGCCCGCCGAGACCAGCGAGATGCTTACCGACGCGGAGCCAAGAAAACAATCAAAAAAGACATCGACGTACCGACCCGACATTGACGGTCTCCGCGCCGTCGCCGTCGTGCCCGTCGTCGTCTTCCACGCCTATCCCTCTGCGTTTCCCGGTGGATTCGTGGGCGTTGACGTCTTCTTTGTCATCTCTGGCTTTCTCATTTCGAGAATCCTCTTCCACGAACAGTCCAGCGGCACATTTTCGTACGCGCGCTTTTACACGCGGCGCGTCCGGCGGCTCTTTCCCGCGCTGCTGCTCGTGCTGGCAACGACCCTCGGCCTTGGCTGCTATTTCTTTCTTACGCGCAAGCTCCAGGCGCTGGCCGCGACGCTGCTTGCAGGCTCACTTTTTGGCGCCAACTTGCAGATCCTCGCACTCGAACGCGACTACTTTGATCTGGACACCAAGACCAACCCGCTACTGCATCTCTGGTCGCTCGGCGTCGAAGAGCAGTTTTACCTCTTCTGGCCCTTCGTCGCGGCGATGGCCATGAAGCTGCGCCTGAACCGCAGCATCCTCCTTCAACTCACCATCCTCGCCATCAGCTTTACCCTCAATCTCGCGCTTCTCGGGGTTGGCGGCAACAACAAAATGTCATTCTACCTCCCGTTCCCGCGGTTTTGGCAGATGGCACTCGGGGGTCTTCTCGCCTACTACGCCCACCGGACGCCGTCCACGCAGCAGACCAACGACGATGACGACGCTCCGAAGGACGACGATATTGAGGCTTTTGCCACGCCCGGGAGATCCTGCTTGTGTTCGCTGCTCGGCGCGGCGCTCCTCGTGCTCGCCTATGCCAGTATCGACGAGAGCTGCGCGTTCCCAGGCTTTTGGGCGACGCTGCCGTCGACGGCCGCCCTCTTTCTCTTGGCTGCGGGTCCCGACGCCGTTGTCAACACCTATGTGTTGAGTCAACCGATCTTCGTGTACATTGGCAAGATCAGCTACTGCTGGTACCTCTGGCACTGGCCGCTCCTCGTCTTCGCCGCCGACGCCTACCCCCTCGACAACGCTCGCCCCGCCTACTTGACGCCAATGGCGATCGTCTGCTTCAGTGCGATCGCCAGTGTCGCGACGCACGAGGGGCTTGAGAAAGGCCTTCGTCGCCGCAAAGCTGCTTGGATCACGCCGCTGCTTGTTGTCGGTATGGTGGTTCTCGGTGTTGCTGCCGCGTTCGTCTCTACGTCG